CACCACCCGACATAGTGGGAGTGTCGCATTTGGGGCAACCACCGTACCGCCGCTTGTATCCACACACCTTCGGAAAATGCGGCACTTTTTAAGCATCCGCTCCGAAATTCTTGTTTTGTGGAGCATCCGTGTAGGATCGGTGTAGTGTAAACATGCTTGTGTATTTGTCTACTTTGTACTGTGTGTGCGTTCAGATGTATACCCATGTACTACGTCAACTTGACGCCAAACACAAGGCCATAAAAACCAAACATCTCCAGGGTCAACAAATTCAGCATCCAATCAATCCACATGCGCTGTCGTCATGCATGTCCCAATGTTGATTGATGCCTTGGACCTCCATAAAAAAGTTATGTCGACCGGGGACCCCATCCACGTCGTCAGCTTATGCGGGTCCTGTGTGTAAGTCCTGTACTACACACTCACTCTGGCATCCTTCATCTTCTTCACGTGCTCCCCGCACTTTGAAAAAATCGTTACATACCGAGGGATCCCGTGCCTCGCCTCAGCCTGACGAGATCCACTTCATGTGATTGATCGTCTCCCTTTCCAGGTACTCGTACACCTGCCCATAGTCTTTGCACACGTGTTTGGCGTCCCATCCGTCACTCCCTCCTAGGTCCTGCCCATGCTCGTCACCTGGAAAGCTCGTCGCCGCTCCCTCGAGCGCTACATCTCCCGCACACATGATCGCCTGTCTAATATACTCAAAACAGTGGTTGATGTGCCATGGCTTCTTGATCGGGTCTGCCGATGCCGGTGAGGCAACCGTAAGCTTCATGGTGTTATACGCTTCAAGTATCGTGTACAGGCAGTGTAACTGATGCGTAACCGACGTAGTGAACACCGTCTGATTGGGGTAATCATGGATTGGATGCGGTAGGTTGGAGTATTCCGACGCATTCTTTACTTCGACATAGCCAAGGCCCTCTTTGACTCGGTCAGCAATGTTCGTATCTGAAAACGAACGGCTTCACCACGTACCTGGAACGATGCTCAGCCAGGCATGCTGCGTCTCCTTGCTCCAAAAATCCGTCGGCTCCTCGGGAGCAAACACAGTATTGGGTTTGAAACTAACAATCTGCTGGCCAAATTTTGGCGCAAACCCAGTAATATCACCGGCAAGCTCGTAGAGATGGCTCTTCTCGTGTTTCTGCCACCTCTTCTCGGATAGGAGTCCTATAATCACCAATAAAAGTGTAGTGTCGACCATCCACCGGTACCTCCTCGCCCATCTCCACACCGTTTTCCTTCTCCGCCGAGGCTGAGCGGCATTTTCTGTGTCCCATTCATCACCGACCTCCGTGCTCGAATCGGAGCCATCAACGACATTGTGCAGCGCGTCATATGGCTGATGACGCTTCGAAGTATCATGTGTCGCAAACTCCATGGTGGATGCGCCGTGGCTTGGTTTGTAAGGTGCAATTACTGACATTGTGAATAGCTAGTTTTTTTGTGGACATGTACCATCTTAGTATATAAAAGCGAAGCGGCGCTTGTGCGGCATCACCTTCATCGCTGCAAATGATCAAACGCGTTTTGCGACACTAATCGTTCGATGCTACACATTGAGCCTCGGGCGTCTTGGTGTCCGGTGATACTTTTCTTGGTATTATTATTAGCCGCAATCAAGCATCTTAACAGAAGCATAGTATGTGCGGCGTGTATGCAAGAGCGCTCCAGTACTTGCAACATCAGCTCGTGAAATAGCGCGAGGGTGGTAAGTAGTGGTCACGTACAGGGATAGCTCAACGTAACGCAACGCACTGCAAGTATCGTGTTCCCGATTGGACAGACCACATATTTTCACAATCTCAGTACATCGCTTAGCATGGAAAGGAAACATAGGTAATGGTCTTGCCATTGTAGTCTGACTAACGGTAGGCGGACGAGGGCACTGTCCAAAGTAGGAAATAGGTAGAAGCACAAGAGGCAAATAACACCGTCATCGGCCTTGGCTGATGCTGACGCGCCCATTCGTCCCTGGTTACACGACCTCAAACCCGGCTGATACCAAATCACAAGACCGGATCTATCCTGCGCAGCATCATCATATCGATTTCACTTACTCAACAATTCGCAAGTGTCGCTGATCGGTACCATAGTTTGGTGAGCGGAGAATGGAGGCCGGTTTGCCGTTCTTCAATGCCTGTGCAGCGTGCTCTTTGACTGCGAGCAGCGACTCTTTGGCGCTATCATTGTTCGTGACGAGATCCAAAGCCTCGATTGACGACTCCTTGGGCTGAGAATACGCACTTTCTACCGATGCAGCCTAACTGCGGATGTGCTTCCGCTTCTTAGCTATCTCATAAGAATCTTGTCGCTCAAACGGCTTAGGTGAGACATATCCTGAATGGATAAGGCGGGCATGGGCTATAGTAACAGAGTCGCGATGATCATGGAAGCGCGTATCTGTTTCTTCGAGGCTTGAGAGATGGCGAGCCTTTGTGGAGTGCCTGTTCCATCTCCCCTTGCGCTGAATTTCACGGTTCCGTACTAGTAATGATTGCTCTGAAGGTTGTAACAAATACTGACCAACATACGGGAGTGTTTCGTCCATGACATCTCCTCTTGAAACATCTCCGCTGGAAACAACCCCATCCAGGGGCACACTTGCAGGACGAGACGGATGGCAAGAAGAAGTGGTACTGGTAACCTGGCTGTTCGGAGGCGCTAATAGCGGTAGATCTTCTCTGTCCTCCGCAGCGCAGTCGAAACCCGTGGTTCGGCCATCATCGTCCGGAAAGACTACAATCGTGGGCTTGAAGCTGTCTGATGCGCTATTCCAACTTCCAAACCAACCTGTGAGCTTGGAGTTGACGCGCTCAAGACCCCGCCTGGCAGATGGACTGACCATTTCCAAAGAGTGGCTTGCAGAAGAGCTTCGCCGCCCTCTCCCTCTCACTTTCTGCTCCAGCGGTACATCATCCCATATCACTTCGTAACTACTGTTCTTTGTCTCTATGACTTGCATCGTCGGTGTGGCTGTATCAGGTTCTTCCTCGTTGGTTATGTCGTGTGCGTCCCATGAGGGTGTGATGGCGACAACGTGCACATCCGTTCGTGTGATCGCCGGGTCTGCCACACTGCTCTTTATTATGCGAATTGTGTTCGGGCACAATAAAGAATTACTGGCAGCTCTTCTTCGCTTTCCAGTCGGTCTGGACAGCGTTTTGACATCGTGCTTTGAAGCCTGGTGCAGGCTCTTTGGCATGATAACTGTGCTCGAGACTTGGGGACAGGGCTTAGAGCCACTCCCTCCAAAATCGACAGTCTTGATGCGACAAAGGGTCTTGGAGTCATGATCTTCTGTGTTCCATCGTAATCCATCAAGCGACGTGAAAGTGTCGCTCTTCGCTCTCTTCTTGATACAAGACTTCAAGGGCAAGTGCCGATCGCGTGACCTTGGGTTCATGTACACCTTGGCTAGGCTTGAATCCGATTTGGAGCTTACTGCGGTTGATCTAGTTAGGATCGGTCTCATTCTCGTCAATATTCCATCTGTCGCCGGTTCACGGCAAGGCTGGCTCGGCCTCAGAGGATGTTTGGGAACAGGTTCTGTCCGTTCAAAGAGAAGTCTTTGAGGGCTCGTAGACAGCTTTGTAACCTCTTCCGTAACCGTCCGAAGTTCGTTACGTGAGCTGCTAAAAGGCCGCCGTATGGCAATGGGAGATGACTGCAGTGAAGCAGGCGATAGAGATAAGGCTACATGTTCTGGGTGGTACATGTCATCTTTTGATCTGAATGCGTTCATTGCTATTACTTCCGTCTTTCGTTCTCTTCGTATACCGCTTGAGATGGTCAGATCGCTGGTAGCCCTCTTCCGTGAACCCCTAGGGATGGTTTCTAGGCTTGGGTTGCTAGCATCTTCCTTCGTATGGCCGTCGTCTTTCTCGATGTCGCCGGTGAGTGGACGGGAGAATCCTGAAGAGGATTCTCCATATTCACTGGAGTTTCTCGATTGTATTTCCGAAGGAGTGGGCTGATCAGGTACAAGGTATGAGATAAGTGTGGTGATTAGGTTATCGCTAGAAGTTCGAAGCATGACTTCTATGAGCGCTGGAACAGCTGCAAAGGCAAGCCCCTATGGCTAAGAATAGAGAATCGCTTGTCCACTGTTGAAAATACTCGCGCAAATAGAACTTAGAAATTTCCGTGATGTCAATGAGGATTTAGGGAGGGGGTGAAGTCGAAGTGACATGTATGCCTGTTCACATTGCTGCACAACAAGAGGCGGCCATGACGAGGGAAAGTGTACGCTGAGAAACGGAAAGATTGCACCATGGTCTCGCCATGTCTATTTCCTCTGGGGTTCAACTGTTCAGTTTACGGAAGCCGCGCCTTGAACAATATACCAACGTTACGGGTAGTGAGTTAGCGACTTCACACGAAGCTGGCCAGCATTGCAGTACGCGAAGGTAGCTGTAAATAGCAGACATTTTCATTGGCGTAATGCAGATATGGGCAGTAACAATGTATGGTATGTATGTAAGTACCGTACGTGTGCGTACACAGATGTATCCGCGTGCGCCACCACCCAATAAAAGAAGCCGTGTTCCTCGGCAAACTCTCCGTCAGCCATTCACAGCCCCTCTGTGGACAACGTGTGCTTCCATCCTCCACGTCTGCACGTCACTTTCAACGCAGCCACAAGGGGCTTCCCTCGCTAGTGTGCATGCCTGAATGTTCCTCAATTGCATTCCAGCAAAAGCATTCGTCCCCGCGTCCCGCAATCTTAACGCTATGCGCCCGCCCCCATGGCTAACCTGAGCCGCTATGTAGCCATTCCGGCAGGAGAACTATTGCCTCGCAATCCACGGCCAAACAAACAGCGCACGTGTGGTGAGGATGGGGAATATGTAGCTAGGGTGTGATCCTTTACCCGACTGGCCGTTCACGTTCATCCTGCGCTCCATCTCATCTTGCAGCTATTAATATAGCCATATGATAGCCCCTCGAGCCCCTCTGTTCAGGCACGCGACAGTAGGCTAGCCATCGAAATGCTTTTCACCACTTCCCTCAGTCTCCTGGCCTTCCCAGTAGGCCGGGCTATCGCCGGCTCAGTCATTCCTCACGACCAAAGTTCCACAAGCCAAACTGCTCCCAACATCACTACGTGCAATGGCAAGCTTTACACGTATGAAAAGCTCGCAGGCTTTGGATCAATAAAGAGTGATGCTCGAGACAAATTTGGTGACACAATCGGTGGCATTGGAAGCGCCATAGCTTTCGAGAAGAAGTCATGGAAATACAAGAATGGGATCTATGAGGGCGTGGTTTGGGGCTTGCCTGATCGTGGCTGGAATACCCAAGGAACACAGAACACTCAAACTCGGCTCCACAAGTTCAGCGTCAAGTTTACACCAGTCGAAGCTACAGTGGCAAAGCCAGCAAGCTCAAACCTACAGATCTCCTATTTGGACACTCTGCTTCTTGCTGGTCCTGACGGTACACCACTGACTGGTCTCGACCCTACCGATACCATCACATATCCAGGATTCCCTGCTCTTCCCTTGGCAAAATGTAAGTTGTGAACACGAGTTCTTGGGAGTGTTTACTGACGAACGCAGATACCGGTAACGGCTTTGGTCAAGCTGGTCCTGGCGGTGCCCGCATCTCTCTCGATACCGAAGGTTTAGTACTTGGGGACGACGGAACATTCTGGATCAGTGATGAGTATGCTGCCTATCTATATCAATTCGACATTCAAGGCAAAATGATCAAGGCGGTTCGTCCTCCAGCTGCTCTTGTTCCCCAGCGCAACGGCACCGACAGCTTCAGCGCTGACTCCCCACCTATCTACGACCCTGACCTCCAGATTGTACCTGGGGACCCTACAAGCGGTCGAGGCAACAATCAAGGTTTGGAGGCACTCACTGCCAGCCCAGACGGCAAGTATCTGTACACGATGCTTCAAAGTGCTACCATTCAAGACGGTGGCAGCGCTGCAAAGAAGCGTCGCAACACACGTCTCCTCAAGTACCGCATCAAGGACAAAAAGACAACTTTGGAAGCTGAATACATCGTTCAGCTACCACTCGTCTCTACAGGACGTGTTGCTAGTCAGTCAGAAATGCACTACATTTCGGAAACACAATTCCTTGTTCTCGCACGCGACTCGAACGCTGGCCAAGGTGCTGAGAGTACAGAATCTCTCTATCGAAATGCCGATGTGATTGATATCTCAAATGCTACCAACGTTTTGGGGACAGCTGCCGATGCACTCGGTGGACAAGTTGCCAGCAAGGATGGTGAGCTGAAGAGCAATATTGTACCTGTTACTTACTGCCCATGGCTTTCCTACAACAACAATGACGAGCTGAGGAAGTTTGGTCTGCACAACGGTGGCGAGCAAGATTCAAAGTTGCTCAACGAAAAGTGGGAGAGCTTCGCCTTGTTACCAGTCGACAAGAAAGACGAGATTGGCAGGAGTGATAGGACGAGCGAGGATGAAGGAAAGCAGTACTACCTCGTGTCTTTTGGAGATAACGACTTTATCACACAGAATGGTAAGTCTGGCTGCTGGGATTTGGTGACATTCAACTAACACTGTACAGGTTATATCAATTTTGGCCAGAATCAGTACGCGGATGCAAGTGGGTATAGCATTGACACTCAGGCTCTTGTTTTTAAAGTCAAGCTGCCCAAGGGGGCAAATCCATTGTAGACGTGTGGTGGTATTAGGCACAGGGTTTGTGAGGAAGAAGTATGTAATATGTAGTATGCATGTAGTATGTATGTAAATATGTACTATACACATAGGAGGCTAGCGGAGGGCCAGCGCACAGACGGAATGTGATTGGCCCTGAAGCTGGACCCTGGACCTTATGTTGATGTGGCATCTCAACCAAGTTGAAGTTTCAAACTCCAATTCCTCCCACCAAGTTGAAAACATGGGGAGAAAGCACGTGTCGTCCCTTGCCCTGATACTTCCCCTCCTCGTCAGCACTGTAGATGCGGCATCAGACCCCGCCCGGCCGCGGGGTGTGGGTCCGGAGTGTATGTTGCACCTAAGGAAGCTCATAGACAGCTGCAATGGACGGAGCTCTGCATGCTGACGGCCAATGTCTAGTTGCAAAGTACTACAAGGACACCGAGACATTTACTTGTATCTCGAATCCTGCCATCAAGCTCCCCATTGCCCGTCTGAACGACGACTACTGCGACTGCCCCGATGGCTCTGATGAACCTGGCACCGCGGCCTGCTCCTATTTCTCACCCCTCTCCCCACCTCAGCCGCTGAGCGTCGAGGGCAAAGATGTCAACACGACGCCTGCCCTTCCAGGCTTCTACTGCAAGAATAAGGGCCACCAGCCCAGCTACATTCCTTTTACGAGCGTCAACGACGGTGCCTGCGATTATGAGTTTTGCTGCGACGGGAGCGATGAGTACGAACACGTCGGTGGCATCAAGTGCGAAGACCGCTGTGCGGCCATTGGCAAGGAATGGAGGAAGGCGGACGAGGCGAGACAGATGAGCCTCGCTGCTGCCAAACAGCGGCGGAAGGAGCTGGTGGCCGAGGCGGGACGCCTGCGCAAGGAGGTCGAGGACCGCATCCAGACTCTCAAGGCTCAAATTGAAGGTGCAACGCTAAAGGTTGATGGGCTGACGAAGAGTCTGGCTGAGATTGAGAGAGCGGAGCGTGGCAAGGTGGTCAAGGGCGCTGGCAAGACCGGCAAGGTCACTGTACTGGCGGGTCTGGCAAAGCAGCGCATCCAAGAGCTTACTGATAACATCAACCGCCTACGCAATGAGAGGGACTCTGCACGAGCAAGGGTTGCCGATCTTGAGGGTATGCTGACCCGCTTCAAGGAGGAGTACAATCCCAACTTCAACGATGAGGGTGTGAAGCGTGCGGTCCAGGCGTGGGAGAACTATGCTGCACAAGATCGCCCAGGACCCAACGATGCTCTAGACCGAGACCTAGATGACATTCTCAAGCCAGACTCTGAGAATGCTATCATTTGGGACGACTTTGAGAAAGTAGACGAGTCTGACATGGAGCTCCGTGAGTACTATTCAAACCATAATACTCAAGTTCATAGGCTAACAAGTATCCAGTTTACCAATTCGAAGAATATCTACCCGAATCCATCCGTAGCTGGGTCGACAGCAAGCTCCGCGACCTGCGCATCATGCTCATCGAGAATGGAATCCTTGCCGACCCCACATCTGCCGATGCTCCTGAATCCAAAGCAGTCAGCGATGCAAAGTCGCAGCTTGAATCAGCAAAGAGGGAGCTTGAGAATGACAAGTCTGAATTAACCAGACACGAAGAAGATCTTACCAAGGATTATGGCCCAGACGCCATCTTCCGCGCATTGAAAGACGTCTGTATATCTACCGACTCTGGTGAATACACATACGAACACTGCTTCCTCTCCAGGACGACGCAGAAACCCAAGAAAGGCGGTGGCCACACAGGCATGGGCAATTTTGTTCGTATCGAGTCCATGACTGTTGATGAGGAGCTACCTGCGGATGGCAAAGGGTTGGGCAGTGGCGAGCGCATCGCTCTCAAGTACGAAAATGGCCAGCATTGCTGGAACGGCCCCAACAGGAGCACACTTGTCATCTTGGCTTGCGCGGAGAAGGATGAGATCTGGAAGATTGTTGAAGAGGAGAAATGTGTGTACAGGATGGAAGTGGGTACGCCGGCGGTGTGTAGTGTTGAGGTTAAGAAGGTTGTTCCAGAACACAACGAGTTGTGAAAGGAGGAAGTGAAACTAGGATGATGGCGTATTCTGGGTGTATTGCGGTTGACTCGCGTTGCTCGGATGGTAGAAGATTAGATATCAAGACATGACTACAATGTTAAAAGCAATTTTTACTCAATTTGTGGTCTCTGCAGCTCTGCAGTCTGTGAGTGTGATTGCTTTACATTTAAGGGTTGATGCACTCTGACTTATTGAGAGATTTTGTGGAGTCTTTCGAACCTGTGAGCATTGTACTCTTCCAAATGAATATCGGTCTCTCGGTCGATTGACGACAACCAGAATTCCCAGACCAAGCGGGCTAGCCTATGAAAACGGGCTACCTTTCTTTCGAAATGCCAGCACTACTAAAATAGTAGTTTCCGAGTGTCAAAACTTTGCGGACGCCTCAGGAAGAATAATCAGGGAAGACGTTATATAGGGATTGATAACACCTTGTACATTGCGATTGTACTGTACGCGCCTAACTTCTCCGTTGCTCATTTACTAGAGATTGGAAACAACATTGCCTACCACAATTACTACGATATGGCTTCAACCACCTCTGATAATGAAAAGATAATTGAGGAGTATCTACATCACCTTGATGGCCGATTAAATCCACAAATTTAAAGATTTCTGGAATCCGAACGGTAACTGGTGGATCAGTGGTGACTCTTTAGTAAATCTATTCACTGGCGACCGCGTAGCCTATGAACGAATCGAACAACTCTCTCGTGTAGTAGACAGCTTGATCAGTGGGGGTTTCGGCACAAAGATTTTAGTTAGTAAAAGGGATCGTGTGGTAATTGATGGTTACTTCAAGGGCGATGGGCCAGGGACGCGGAAGTATCGAAATGAGATGGCTTTGTTTTTTTAGACTAGAGGAAGGGAAGATTTTTGAGAAGCGGGAGTACTGTGATTATGATAAGACAAACGAATCGGGGGCATTGAGCTGAATGGTAACACGGTCATTGTCTAGTTAATTACTTAAGAAAATGAAATAGGAAAGGATGCGTTAGATCATCTTTATGAGAACCTGGAGTATGTAACCAGAATTACATGACCAGATCGCTAGGAACCATTTTATGCAACCTGTAAAACCGGAAAACCTTAACAACTAGATATAGCCCATCGAAGCGTATTATCAACAACATGAAATTAGCACCGATATATAAGAGCCGGCGTAGCATGCTCCACTGCACCAGGTGTTATCGATAAGCATTTTTGTCCCTCCATTCCGCAACCCCCCACCAACTTTTTTTCCCACAGTCACTACACAGTGAGTAGTACATTCCAGGACGCCACGCGTGTTAAACTGTTTGCCCTATTTTTTCTTGCACCCAGTCGCTTCGACTTACTTATTATCAACTCTGAGAGAGAAGAAAAGAAAAAAAGAACAAACAAACCGCGCATCATGTCGAAAGCGAAGGATCTCTCTACACTCATTGAAGTCACCAAGAACACCCAAACGCTTCTCACACACTACCAATCGTCGCTTACCCCCAGCAAAACCAACACCGTCACTGCCATCGCATCCGCGTCCGCGCCCGATCCGTCGACGGAAATACCGAATCCGCTCGAACTGCTTCGCACCAGCAGCACGCTGCTCAAATCGCACACGACGACCCTCTCGCTGCTGCTAATCAACCCGCCTCTGACGGCGTCTGCCCTAGTCACCAAGATTGGCAATGTGAGCGAAGGGCCGCTAACCGGGGTGGTGGCCGCGGCGAGTTATGTGCCTGGAGTGGGACAACGGGGCGACGTGGGCGAAATCATGCGTGCGGAGATGCGGGCGCAGGTCAAAGGCTTACTGGCGAGTTGGAGCGAGGTATTGAGTATTGTGCTTAGCATTGCGCAGAAGCAAGGGACGAAGCAAGGAGGAAGCGTGACGGAAGCCGAGAAACAACAAGTGCTTTCTGCCACAGGCATGGTGTGGGATGCGTGTGATGGAGTGGAGAAACTGTGCAAAGACGGCGTGGTGGGGCTCGTGGTCAAGAAGGCACAGGAGTTGCGGGCTGTGCTGCTCGACGCAATCGAGGAGTTAAAGGAGTGGGGGGAAGATGTTGCGGACGACGATGATGATGACGACGACGATGAGGCAGAGCACAGCGACCAAGATGATGTTTTCGCAACGGAAAATAAACTAGGCAAAGACGACAAGGAGCTCAAGGCTCTCCTGGATAAGAGCCTCAAGAAGCTCAAGATGATGGGCATATTATACCAGGCGCTTGTCAAGAGGAGACTAAAGACATATCCTGCATCGTCCATTCTCGAGCCCAGCAATACACCTGCGACGAACAACACCAAGAGGAAAGCATTAACAGAAAAAGGGGAAGTACAAGAAGAGCAAAGTGGAGAAGAACAAGCGACAAAAAGTCCCAGCCTCAAACTCAGCGAACTCATGGGCGTGCTGAAAAGTATTCCAGAAACAGTCGATGATATCGCTGCTGCTTTTTACGATCTCGACGCCGACGAGGCGCAGGAGATGCTGGATCGGTGCTGTGCAGAAGCCAAGACGGCAATTGAGCTTGTGCGCACGAGTTGGAGTGGGCAGGACGATGAGTTTACGGCTTGGTCTGAGAAATGGGTTGCTGCTCTTGATGATGCTGCTGCTACTGCTGCATGAAAGCGGAGTTCCCTGTATATTAGACAAACAGGGCGTTGTCATGGCCATCACTACATAACGTCGAAGCACTTCATATCCCCACAAGCAATTGAATAGAAACCACATAAGAATCATTAAAGAGTCTCAAATCATAAAAATTAAGTGGTTGTCAGAAATTTCCTATCTGAAAATATATTTGCTTTCGTATCAAGGGGGTTGAACAAGACTCCGTCCTCTCGATCTCCTGAATGGGCTAACCATGAAAGCGCAAAAAGAAGTGAAAGGTATATCCATCGATGTTTTGCGTGCCCAAAATACCGTCGAACCATGAAAGATATCCCCCCTTTTTGGCAAGATAAAAAGACACACAAGAGGGTTTACACACACACACACACAACACCAAACGTGAGGGATAAACAGGTGCTTACAAGGCGAAAGCAGCAGCGGCGAGACCAAGGGCAACAGAGCCAATGGCAGCGTAGTTGCCAGAAGCAGCGCCGGTAGACTGGGCAGGGGAGCCCGAGGTACCAGAGGCAGTGGGCTTGGAGGCAGAGGGGGTAGGGCTGGCAGGGCTGCCAGCAGGAGCACCGGACTGCTGCTGGGTGCCAGAAGGAGAGGCGGCAGGGCTGCCGGTAGCAGCGGGAGCGGCAGTGGGGATGTCGGTGAGAGTGATACCGGCGGAGGCGCAGAGCCCAGCGACGGCAGGGATGATCTCTGTAGTATGTTGTTAGTAACGTGGGGATTGACATTTTTTTGTTGGAAGGAACGGTTTAATAAGGTGGTGGATAGGGAGAAACACTTACTCAGAGCCTCGGTTTCGTTGCACTTGGTGGGAACACAGGCCATGAGGGCCTCCTGGAGGGGTTGACGGCCAGTGGTGCACTGGCACTTGATGTCGGTGGTACCGCACTTAGAGGCGGGGAGAGAAGAGACGAAGCAAGGAATCTAGGGGATGAATTGTCAGTGACATGTGTCATGATAGGATTATAGCGTGCACTAGCTCGACGCGATTCCAATGGTGCCGCGAGAGGTGGAGCTGGAACAAGACAGGGAGGACAAAGCAGAGGTACATACAGCGCACTGAGGAACATTCTCGAGGTTCTGGGCGCTGGCGAAAGCGAAGGTGGCCGCAACGGCAAGAACGGTAGATTGGAAACGCATGTTTGCTGTGTTTGGTGGGTGGTTGTTGATGCGGTGGTGGTGGTGGTGGTGGTGGTGGTGGCGTTGTTATTAAAGATTGACTGTAATGTAGGAGATGGGTATTTTGCGCAAAACGTAGGATGGAATCGAAAGCCACTGAAGGAATTAAGGAAGGGCAGAGAGGGTCCTTTATCAAGATAAATAGTGGGCGGCAGACTAGACCGAGACGGGGAATAGAAGGGGGGCAGGTAAGGTTTAGGTAAAGGGCCGGCACTTCCACGATCGCATTCGACCAAGCAAGTCGTATCCACAGCAATAGTGGCTCGGTGGGATCAAATGCTAGTTAACCCACAGGTGATCGACACCAGGGGCAATGGCTGTTTGACTTTAAGGCACAGCTGACCTTTTTTTCGGGGACGCGCCTAGATTTGCTCCAAGGTTCATGCATCGAGTTTACAAATGAGACGTGACTTGCATACCACTGCAGTTTGCAGAGATGTTGTTGTATTCATGATGGCCTGGACGAGGTGTAGCTGTAAGCCTCGCCGAGGAAAGAAGGGTTCTTCAGTTACATCGAATTACCTGTTGCGGACCCAGGAAGCATAAGCACTTGCCTGGGTGAACCTTGAGGGGGCAAAAAGCTCAGGGCACGATTAAGGTTTGGTTCGGCGGGCACAAGTGGTTAGCGACATCTTTGGGTGGAGCTGGACTCTCCGCTGACGATAGTGCGATTGCTTGGTATTGATTGTTTTTATTTGCCCCAGCCTACAGACAATGTCATTTTCCAATAACCAAAAAGAAAACTTACTACATGAGTGGAGTGCAAGTGTATCAGCCATGCGTCGGAAGCCTGCTGTTGTTGCTTGGCCCAGAGGGGTTGAATAAAAAGCAAGTCAAGACCGTTGGGAGGACGGGTGCGGGAAGAACCCTCGCTGCTTACTTTTTCCAGAATTGCTTTGTTTTTCTCTTCCTCGATACATACTTGGACGCACCAGACAAGTCCGCCGTGGGCGCATGTGCGTTTATGCGACATTGGATTGCTGACGTATATATGTTGGAGAGGGGTTTGGACACTTTGGGAAGACGTACATATGGCCCAACGGTGGTGGGTGGTGGCATGCGGAGACCATGGTGCATGGCCAATCAGCGCGACAGATGTGGCGCAAGGCATACGGCGGTGTTTCTCGAAAAATTGGCCGCACGGCCAGAGCTTACAGCAGAAGCTTACTGCTGCTGCGACTCAGTCATCAGTCGAACAGTCGGAGCTGTAGAGTGCTGTATACAGTTAATTTGTCGTGTCGAGAGTGTAATGAAGAGTGGTTGCTGGTCGGGCTGTTTTGATGGTAGTCGTCGTAGTAGGTGTAAGTACTATGTAGGATGCAGGTACGCGATGGGCGCATGCAGGCGCGACTGGTTTCCTGACTAACCCCACATTAATGTGCCCCTCTCTCCCCCTTCTGCTCCTCTTGATTGCTTTTGCCGGTTTTCCCTGGCCTTTTTCTTTTCATCCAACAGGTCCTGATGACTGTGCATGTACGCGTGCATTTCCCTGTCCCTCGTCGCAATGCCGCGTAACCATTCCGTGCAGGCGTTTGGCGGGCGGCATCCAGAAGCTTCGTCGTGGACATTATTGCCGGGCTTCCTCTCGGTAATGATGGCGCGCTTGCCAGTCCTTGGCACGGGCCAGGTGAGATGCAAGTAGCCAAGCAACGGCAGCTGAAACAAGGGCCCATGACTCGACCGTTGCGGGTAGATGGGGCGTTGAGACCATGGCACATATAGCCTGTCACTCGTCTCACATCATCTCATCTCGGTAGATTATATTCGTATTTGCTTTTGCTGTCGTCGAGCGGTGTGATAGCAGTCGTCAATAAGTGCATGACTGTGTCGGGCAATCAAGTTAGACACCTTCCACAGTGTGCATGCCGACTACCGCAGTCGGCTTCTTTCTCTGCCCACCCCCCTTCTCCAAAAGCACAACTGCATCGCTGCAAACTACACGAGAAAAACATGCCTAGTATTTAAAAAAGAAACAAATAAGACTCCCTTTTGCGGCCTGGATTTCAAAGCCACAGTCAGCGTTACGATGAGCCCCACATGTGGAGAAGCACCATGAACAGGTGGGTTGACGGTGCGACTATCATAATCTTCACATGGCCCAAGCAATACAAACGTCTCGTCAAACACAATGAATAGCGCTTCTTTTGTATTGACCGCTATAGCCGTCGCAGCACCGGCACACGCAACCCGGCAGCACATGCTAAACCGAATTCCCACGAAGCCTACATAACATGACGACCTTCTTGGCGGCTGGCAATTCCTTTCGACTCAAAATGACCATTCGAGCAGCCTTCCCGTCTAAACTCAGACCAGGCGTGCTCGACACTTGCGTGATGCGATTGCGAACCTCTACTTGCACCGTGTCCAGCCCGGTGCCGGGTCGTACTCTAAGCCGAACCCTATCGTTCATCATGAAATGGATCTTTCAAACGAAAAACTTGAAGAATCGAGAGGTATATCGCTGAGACAGTGGGTAATGAAAAAAAAGAAAAAAGAGCAAAGGAAGTCGAAGGAAAAGAAAAGAAAATTCGAAAAAAAACTCCCCCAAACCTAAGGCCCCTGTCACAGACGTGCCAACCTGAATACATAACACACACAAGAGGGAACAAAATTTTATCTTACACACGGGGCAAATGTAAAATCGCTGCAGACAAATGGCGGTCGTAATGAAACGAAGAAGAGAAGGATGAGAAGAGAAGAACTCGAGTCGACCATGCAATTGCTGGTCTCTCACAGTTTAGAACATAGCGCCCTCAGCGGAACCTTGGCCTCGGGGTTGTGCGTTCATGGGACGCGGAGGTGAGTTGTTACGCCCCTGGAAACCACTCGATGGCACCGGAGGAGACGGCCCCATTTGGCCCTGTGCTACTCCACGCAGACTTCGGCCTTCGCTCGTTGCTTTCCTCAGCATATTCCTAGGCGGTGGATGCGCCTGCTCGTACAGACCATCAGCCGAACCGGTACGAACCGGCTCTGCAAAAGGCGCTCGTGGGGCCTCGATACCTGGCTGGACAGCGGGATCAGAAGCTGCTGAGCCCTGACCCTCACGACCAAATCCAAATCGTCGCCTCATGGGGTTGATGGGTGGAACAGGCGGCGCATCATATTCGCTGCCATTCTTGAGCGATGCACCAGGGGGGAGATCAATCGTGTCAATCACCGACGTCGTGGAAATGAAGACGGGGTCCGATATGTCTGCCTTGGCAACAGACTTCTTTCGCAACATTCCTTGTCTGTTTACAGGTTGCACAGTGCTTGGATTGAAGGCGGGAGCACTAGGCGTGGCCGGGTTAGGCGTTGTTGGGTTAGACACAGGAGGCGTGTGGCTGTTGGAAAACGGAGGCATTGGAGAGGTAGGGTGCGAGTAGCCCTGGCCACTGTGGTTGCTGTAAGCGCCAGGTGAAGGTCGAGGTGAGATCGGTAGTCCAGGCGACAATTTGCCGTGCGGAGGGGCAAATCGTGCATTCTGACCTGGTGTCAGATTGGTCTGGATGGGGTTAAGGTGCTTTGATTCAAAGTAATTAGAGGCAGAAACTTTGCTGTTGCTCCTTGAACGTGAGCGACCTTCAGAGTCCATTGAAGTCTTTGGTGCAGGCAGAGGAGGTGTAGGGTGTGCTACATATCCAGGTAGTGAAGGAAATGTGTTTGCAGGGTAGGCAGCTCGGGACCCTTCGGTCATGGCCTGGTCCAAGTCATCGCGGTAATGACCTCCACGGCTCCGGGAACGTCCTGATGAGGTGCCAGAGCTTGAGCGTTCTCTAGTCGAGCTCCTGGTCGAAGCTGCTTGTGTTCTACCTACAGGACGACCTGTCCGGCTGCTATCAGTTGCTGAGCGTTGTCTGTGCTCGAGCTCACGCTGAGCATCCTGCTCGCTCTGTTGCAGTACACGGGAAGGCTTGGTTCGCAGTGGCGGTACGTCAGAACTTTGCATGCTCACAAGCGAAGTGCTGCTGAGATTGACCGTAGAGGCACCAAGGGCAAGCTTCCTCACCGACTTGTTGGAAGCATCGACTGTGGCAAATGCTTCGCCGTTTGACTTTGCGCGAAGCATGTTCAGAGCATTCTTCAATCCTCCCGATGGTCCGGCACCAGGCCCAGGGCTCAGTGACCGGCCCTCAGCCTTTGCACGAAGACTCTCTTGGATCAGACGTTGTCTCTGGGCAAGATCTCGTTGGAACGCCTCGTGCTCAGCTTCCGTCTCGTTGCTAGAAATCCTTTCGTGATTCCTTCGAGGAGTGAGATCCCACGTGGATGAACCAGTGTGGTGCTCAGATGTGCTCATGATAAGAGGCCTGATCCTGGTTGATCCCTCAATAGGACTTGATGGTTTGGCAGCCCCGCGGTCTTCACGATAAGGGCCATCGATGTCATCGAGATCCCATGGGTTGGAATGGCTGTACGTTGATGGCACAGGCGTGACGGACTCAGACTCGGAATCCAGTTGTCTGCGTTGCAGTCCAAAGTCGTTCTTGTGGAAGGCTGAATCCATGGGTGGGCTCATGACAGGCGGACCTGGTTCACCGTAAGTGGAGGAGACATTGCTGTTGGTGCGCAGGTGCTGACGAATCAGACCACTAAGTCCACCGTTTTGGGGGCCGAGGGTGGGAGAGTCATTATCTGGGACGTTTAGTGCGGGAGACTCGGCGCCTTGGTAGGGAGAACGAGCGATAGAATTTGATTCTTGAGTATCCTCGTTTGATGGAGCACGTGAGCGGAGTGCAGGGTGCTCAAACATGGGCGGCGCAGGACCAGTTGCAACTGGGAGGTTTTCAAACCGACGGGCGGACCCCGCAGGACGAGTTGTCGCTGGCTTGGAAACCGGCTCTTCGTGTTGTTGCCCTTGCTCGTCATCGCTCGAGTCAGGCGAGGTAAAGAAGGTAGCTTTGGCACATGCGTCCTTGGGCTTCTGTGGGGGCTTCTGGGTTTGCTGTACGTTTGCAGCCGCTTGACCCGCAATCCTCATCTGGCTGGCAGCAGCCTGAAACCTGGAAAAAGCATTTGTAGCTGGGCTTTGCTCTGTAGGTGATTCGGGTCTGGACTTCTCTCTTGCGTCACTCTCCGCTCTCTTCCTTCTTTCCTGCTCAGCTCGCTCTCGCAACGAGGGTTTGCGAGAAATCGACTTTGCAGGACCTGATGCTGGTGACTCGCGTGCTTGTCTGTCTTGGTTCATCTGTCGCAAACGCTCGGCATACTGCTCTTCGCTGAAAGCCTCCTTTGGCTTGTTGAAGGCGCCCAGAGCAGTGGCCTTGCCTCGATCGTTTGGTTGAAGCGCAGCATTGAGTGAGTGAGCCTCGCTGCAATCGCTGGTCACTGGGCTTACCAGTGGTGGCGACTGTGGCCGCGAAAGAACAGGGCTTGATGTGCCAGACGAGTTGGTTCGAACCATGGCCGGGTGGCCAGTGGGACCGGGGCTTTCGGAGCGGAATCCAGGACCCCTGGCAAAGCGGTCGTGGAGATTTGTTGCAGAACGTGCTTGACCTATGGGGAGAGGCTGGTTTGATCGCAGTGTGGGCGCGCGCGCTCGCTGTATCGAATTGAGGCGGTTCATGGCTAAGGACTGCTGGTCTTGGATTTGCTGATCCAGGCCTTGGTCATAAAGTCGTCGCTTGGTAGTTGACCGGTTCAGATCTGGAGAGCTTACAGGAGCCGAGGAAGGGGGCAAGGAGGGAGAGGAGGCGGAAACCGAGTTGGCGCCTTGTGAAGCTATTGAAGTTGCAGCGGTGGAGATGCGCGTGTTGGATGGGCCAGAGTTTGTCGAGGAGGTAGTCTCCCTCTTCCGGCTGAGTTCTGTGGGGCTGGAGGGCTCCGAATGCTGACTCTCTTCCTCCTCTTCTGCCTGTTGCCGTATGCGCTCCTTTTCTTCTTGTCGTAGGCGTTGGTACGCTGACAGGTTGACATCGTCGTCGTACAGAGCGCGTCCAGTGCCCTTTGAGTTTGTGTTTGAAATGACGTAGATTTTCTGGCGTCCACCAAAGAGAACATTGCCCTCGCCAGGTCTCGCTCGGCTCATGACACTGCCGGAGCCATCTTCTTCTTTGGGACCGTCGAAGGAGTCGGTGCGGTCAGCAGCAGCCGGTCGATGGAGGGAACCTTTGAGCGAGGATACTTCAGCAATGTCTGAGAGGCCACCAGGAACGAAACCAAACTCATGGAGGCGGGACTGACGTTTAGGTTGGAGAACGCTATCGTCGCTTGCTTTGCCAATGAGGGA